ACCTTATCACCATCTACCATCAGGAAACGGGAACCCAAATTGCCTTTGATCTTTCCTGATGGCATGTAGAACCCAACTCCAGTCACAGAACGCACACGAATATTCTGACAGGAAGAAAAGAGAATAAGCAAGACACAAACTAAGTCTTATGGCCTCCAACATGAAGGCAGCATTTTAATCGCTTCTCTTTTCTAATTTTTTTCTCTTTTCTATTTTTTTTAATGCTTTGGGCATTAAGATGGATTCAGAAGTATATTAATCATGGTAACATAGTTCTACCTCTAACTTATGGTACAGGAGTAAGCTATGTGGCTATAATGATATGGTTCGACAAATGGTTTGAAGTGATGATCAAGGAGAGATCCTACACGTCCATATGAAAGAATGTCTTCTGGGAGAGGCATCTTTTGATTGTGAAAGTGAAAGGAGCAGAAGTGAAAGCAAAATTCAATACTTAGTGAAAAATTAAAAAATCAAGCTTATTCGTACAGCTGTCTGATGAAAGATAAGAATTTTCAGTATCAGACCTGCCCTACTACATGGAATGCTATTCCAACTATTACTAATTATGTTAATATCAGTACCCCTTTCAGGAAAAAAAAACCTGCTTCAATTTTCTCTTATTTGCATGCACAACAGCTCTGTAAAGCAGATGTTTAACAACAGGGGAACTAAACCTTAGCCCAGTGCATTACTGTACTTACATCTAAAATTTAAAGTGAGCAAAGACACTTCTTTTTAGAATAGTAGGACAGTTTAAAAAAAGAAACAACTGAATTCTTGCAATTTCTGCTCTAGTTTTTGTTTGTTTTTCCCAAGGGGATAGGTATCAGTATAACCCCTACCCCAGGATCCAAGAGCAGGAAATTGGCCTACAGGCTCCCAGAGCTTGCCCTATTCCTTTTTCTAGATGCTAGTGTTCATGGCAAGGCACAGCAAAAAATATTCCATCCAATGGAAGAGAGCAGGCAGGCATCTGCAGAATATGCTTAATCCGGAGGCAATCAAAGGTTCTTTGATTGGCAAATAACTTTCAATTCAACTACTGTACTTTAGTTTTTCTTCAATTATGTTGTGAACCAACTTGAGTCTCAGACTGGGGCTAAGGCATAAACTCATAATAAGATTAAAATCAACACAGTCAAAAATAGATAAAAACAGTTGCGGGTAAAACTATACAAATGTTATTATGTGAACATATAATTAAATAAGTTATACCTTTAAAATACTGTTAAACTGAAAAGCACTTCGAAAAGACATTACAACATGCTCCATACCAGTCCATTGAAAGTCCTTTCCCCAATAGCCAGATAATTGCCAAAAGCTTGCCAAAATGAAAAAGGTCTTTGTTTATCGTCAAAAGAGCAACAGGGAAAGGACAGCCCAGTCTTCCTTGGAAGAAAGTTCGATAGACAAGCCCCCTCAGGTCCCCACCAAACATGCCTATGAAGGTGACGGGAGGGTCACTCCAAAGATCCTATAATCCAGGTAGGCTCACGTGGGGAAACATGGCCCTTCACATAGCTTGGATCAAGACTGTACAGAGCTTTATAGAGCACAACGAACATTTTAAACTGTAACTTGAAAAAGAACAGTTGCCAGTAAAACTGTTGTACAATGGAGTTGTATGGTTTGTGTAAGTGGTCTTTGTCAATAATCTGGCCACAGATTTTTGAGCCAACGACAGTTTCTGAACATCTTTTGAAGGCAGCGCCACACAGAGTATGTTATTTTAAATTAAAGTAAATTAAAAATGGCAATGAAAGAGTTAAGAAACCTCACCTTATTGTGTAAAAAGAATACAGAAATTACCAGACAATTTTTCTAAATGAGCCATTAACACTGAGCACAATTATGTCGAAATAAACTCCACAGAAATTAATGTAAATTAATTCTGCATATACGGTAGTGAAGATTGGGTATGTAGTTCAAGAGAGCAGACATTTAACAATCACAGACTGTTCATCTACACATCAATATGCAACATCACGACTTTTAAGCATACAGAGGGGGAAAACTCTTTATAACGTTACACTGTGATCTTCTACATTTTTACTTGAAAGTTAAATCCCATTAAATTCCAGAAGGATAACTGTAATAGAACTACAAGCGTCAAATAATGGGTGAAATCCTATTGATAGGGCTGCACAGTTGTAAATTGTGACAATGTCAGCAGGCACAGAGATTGATAATTAATTTAAAAATTCCTATGCCCACCCACCTCCAGATTCTGAGGCTGCCAAGGGATCCCTTTTGACCTGGGGAAGCCTCTGGCAGACTCAGGAGAAAGGTGGGGAGGAGACAAATATCAGACAATCTCCACCAGCAGTCCTGATCCTGGCAACAGAATTTTTGGATATTAAAGGCTTCCCTTATTTTGATACTCCCAAAATCTTCTTCAGGTTGAAAGAAATCCCTAAGAAACCTCAGAACCTGGGATGAGGTGGGAACAAGAAACTTTAAATTAAAGATTAGCATCCGTACTTGATGACATCATCACCATTTACCACAGAGTTGTGCAACAGATTCCAGTCATCATATGGGTCTGACACTGGGCTAATAGGCATGAGTTTTTCCACTGAGAACGAATAAGTTCTCTGTCACAGGCAGATTGCATGCAACCAAAGCCGATTTACAGAAGGGGACTACTAAGTAAACATTTCTGTTGTCTTCTGCAAAACTATGATAAGAAGCACCCTCTGAGGCTCATCGGAGAGGTATATGACTTCTATATTTCAGGGTACCAGACAGTGTGAGGTTCTTTTTCTATTTATTAATTCATTTTGTGCTGCCTCCTCACAAGAGTTCAAGGCAACAGCTTACAACAACAGCCACACAACGATTCCATAATAAAGAGGAAAAAACAAGAACACCACACAATTATCAAAAGCTATCTATTGACACTAAGCATCAGCAAATTATGCATCACTGAAGGCCAGTTCGAAAAGAAAGATTTTAATCATTTTCTAAACATCTGCAGTGGAGATGAGCTCCTCTCACAGGGAAGTCTAAGTTCCAGGCCACTACCAAGAAGGCCCTGCTACGTACCCCAACTGCACAACATTTATAGTGGTGCCTCGCTTGACGACATTAATCTGTTCCAGCGAAATCGCTGTAGATCAAAATCGTCATCAAGTGAAAGTAAAAAGCCCATTAGAATGCATAGAACGGCTAATGCGTTCTAATGGGTGAAATACCTCATCGTAAAGCGAAGATCCTCCATAGGGCGGCCATTTTCCAGTGCTTCTCTTGCGAAAAATCTGTCTTAAAAACAGTGGGGAGCCATTTTGCACAGCGGGCAGCCATTTTGAGAGCCGCCGATCAGCTGTTTTCAGACCATCATTAAGTGAAAAATCGGTTCCCGAAGCAGGGAACCGATCATCGTTAAGCGAATTTTACCCGTCAAGCGGATCTGTTGTTTAACGAGGTAATTGTTAAGCGAGGCACCACTGTAATTGAATTTCAAGCATCAATTACGTAGCAAATATGAAAAAAATATAATTGGGAGGAATATGTTTTCAGGGCTGACAATTCTATACCTACCCCCTACCTAGCCCAGTACTCATGACTTTCTTTCAGTGTGGCATGTCCTCACAGATTTTTCTCTCTGCCAAGTCAGCCTTGATATTCTTTAACCTAGTATGAGAGTGGCAACCAAGATGGCGACCCGATAGCAGGATGCTGTGTTTTTCCTCCTGCTGGGTCGGCGTGTATGGCAGGTTATATAAATTCTACATTCTACATTCAGGAAGTAGTCAAGTCTAAGAGTATGTTACCTTAGCACAACAGGAAATCATAACAGAATTTGGTTAGTGAATTCCCTTCTCTAGTGAATATACATTTTATTCTCTTTGAACAAGAACATTAAAAAAACTCTCAACTATTTCTTTCTTTAAGGAGAAGATAAGTCTTATAGATAGGTTTGTATGACCTATACAGATTAATATTTCACTATAACACTAAGAGGAATTTACAAATTTTAGTCCAGTAATATAGTTTAATGAGGGTTTTTTTCAATTTAAATGGCTGAAATTTCTGTTGTGTCCACCTAATTAAAAGTGTAGATACTCTCCCCCGCAATGGCCAAAATCCTATTGTACAGCGTAGTAAATGGTTCTAGAGTAAGCCTTTTGAATCAATGGGGATTTGGTGAGTCAGCTCCTCCATAAATTCCAGTGAGTCAAACTGTGATTTACTTTAGTAATCAAGAGTATGCCTATTTAAATCAATGAAATATACAGAGGAGATGACTCACCAAATCCATATTACCACTGATTCAGTGGCATATTCCAGTGTCTTTTACTATGCTATGCAGCAAGATTTAAGTCAATAAATTGCAGCTTGGGTATGAAAGTCTTAGCTGAGATGTAGTAGAAAAGAAAAACAAAATATTCCAAAAGTATTTTTAAAAGTGAACTGCCAGCTAGTTATTAATAATATTGCCTTTGGGATCATCAATTACAAAACTGTCTTTGATTAAGTCAGATTACTGACTGGCTCAGATCTAAATTATTTCTATCTTGCCATTCTACACCAAAGTTCATTTAATGCAATTTATAATAAAAAATAACATGTCGTAATTTTTAAAAAAATCAATACTTCGACTTAAGGTTTTTCAAGCACATTCAGTCCAAACCTTTTCCCAAGCTGGTTTACACCTTACATTGCCTCCTTTGGTTGTACTATCTGTTATGGCTGGCAGCCATATTCTAATACTGTACTGCCAGAGACTGACTCTGGAGTCTTTTGCATGAACACAAGAACTTTATCATTGAGCTACAGATCTTGATTGCTACATGTCTTCCTAGTTTATAGAAGATGAAACAAGATGAGAGGGTCTAGATTCAGGATTTAGCAAAACTGATTAAATGTAGTGGTATACTTTCGAAGGCTTCTGCTGCATCTTAATTTCTCTGAGCAAGATCTACGAATGCTTTCTAACTATCCTAAGGAACATTATTGTATTATTCTATTTCTTTGTATATGCAAAACCAAATTGAACAATTTATCTGTAGTAAAAAGAGCAATACAATAAACAAAGGAAGAGTCGCAACTACAAAAACTTCTTTAACTTCTTGAGTGCCTATTGGAAATCTGTATACAGATGCCATAAAAATAAGCTACCTGTTCAATTTTAAAACAAAATAATTCACTTGTCTGCAAGAACCTTTTCTAAATTGATCAAACTTCCTCCTCTTAAAAAAAAGTAATGGAACTTAGTATGAGAAGAAAGAGGTCTGAAATCCTATGATTTCAGCAATTAAAATTACAGAAAGAGATGTAAATATTCTGCCATATTTCTGGATGTTTTATTCTCAGCCAAACAGAAACTATAGATAGTGAAATAAAGCAGTGGCAAAGAGGCTAAATGACTGTCAGCTCTTTCTCAATGGAAGTGGATGACATCTACAGTACAGTGGTGCCCCGCATGATGACGATAATCCATTCTGTCAAAATCACTGTACAGCGGAATTGTCGTCATGTGAAAAAAACCCCATTGGAATGCATTGTAAACCGGTTAACGCGTTCCAATGGGGAAATAGCTCATCGTCCAGCGAAGATTGCCCAAAATCGCTGTTTTGCGAAGCTTCTGTCTGGAAAACAGCCATTTTGCGAAGCAACTGTTATATGCATTTTGCGAAGGGAGGGAAGCCATTTTGCGGAGCCAGAAAAATCATCGTTTTGCGAACAAATGGTTCGTGAAGCAGGGACCTAATCGACGTAAAGCAAAAAAACCATAGGAACCATTGTTTTGCGATCGCTATAGCGATTGTAAAAAAGTTGTCATCAAGCGATTTCGTCGTAATGCAGGGTCGTCGTAATGCGGGGCACCACTGTATATTGCTTGATGCAAAACTTGATACCTTGAACTGAACCTACAAACTTGTAGCTCCCATCCTGGTATTTCACTTTAATCTATGAGACCCTGGATTCACCATCTGCCTAGGATAATTTTGGAACTTTTCTGTTCCTGCCCCCAGCTCTGTAATGTTCTGCAGGATTTGAAATTAAGAAATGGATACCAAAGATTTTACTCTTTCCCATGTTTCCATGTTTTAATCTTTTAATCTGATTCTAAATCATATATTGTTTAATTTGTCTTTTAATATTTAACTTACTGTGTTTTAATTGTGTGATTTTTAATGCTGTGAGCTGTCTTGGGTCCCTTTGTTGGGAGAAATGTGGCATACTACTACTACTACTACTACTACTACTACTACTACTACTAATACTACTACTACTAATAATAATAATAATAATAATAATAATAATGATAATGATGATGATGATGATGGTGATGACGATGTAGATCACACTTAATGGTGAGTTTTGGTTCTAGGTGATTTGAAAACTATTATGTTTATCCAGACAAAGCAACTGTTATATGTATTTTAAAACCCAAACAAAATTTCAAATTGGTTGTACTATAAGAAAGAATCAAGTTCTCTATCAAGGTAACATGTTTAACTTCTCTTTAATTTACAGAAAAATCTGTGTTTGATAACTTGTGACTATAACTATTAATAATCATTAGAAATCACACTGCATCTTACCCGGATATGAAAATCACTGAGCTCCATACATTTGCACATCTCCAGGAAATACTTAGAACCTTCTTCATCCAAGATGATATAGACGGGGATCCGACGTTTGTATGCTGCATCTACAACATCCCGGAAGATGTCTCTGTCAGTGAACTGGTCCATGACTATTGCAATGATCTGGCCATGGACAGAAAGAGAGCACACACTTGCTTGAAAAAAAATGCTGTTGTGAAAATGCAAAGATGTGTGCCACCAAGTCATATTGCATTAACTCATGATATTCTATATTATGAGAAACATACTGTACATTCAACATATTAAAGATACCATTGTTTCACAATATGATTAGACTAGAAGGCTGCTAAGTCTTGTTGACAGTCACTCTAGGGCTTTCACTGAGTGTTTTCTGTGAATATGCTTAACATAGAATACATTAATCATTCTTCATTCTTTGCACTCGCTTCTCAATTATTTAACCTATTTTGTCTGGGAAGATACCCCTTTCCACACTTTGCAAGTAAACAAGCCCAGCATTCATCTATCCAGCAACAATTGTAACAGTCATTTATTCTGCAGGGTGCATTTGTTATTCCCCCCCCCCCAGCTACTACCCTTACACTTTTTCCTCACTCTCTATAAAACGAAGAAAGAGAATGCTAAATGCTATGACTGACCAGTAGCAGCCAATAATAATTACCCACAAGAAATTCAGCCACAGTACAAGTTCCAGTTCAATCTGATGCATTCCCTGTTTTTAAAAATCAGACAAGTGATGCTTAAAGACATTGCCTGACACCTGGTGCCAAAGTGGCCGAGAATGAGGCAGATGGGCACACAGTCTGAAATGCTTTAAGGCAGAAATCTGTGATGGTTTCAAAAATAAATATTTCTTGTTCTGAATTGCAGTGACAACATCATCAATTTTAAGACAACATCAAACCATCAGTGACCAACCCCATTGCCTCTTCCCATTGCTGGATATTTACATGTAAAACTAGGACTAGAATCCTACACAACTGCATAAGTGTAATGGCACAAGTGATATGAGATGTTTTCCAAGGTATCCATTGATACACTGGAACACAGCCTGACTCTTATCTAGTTGCACAATCAGCTGCATGAATGGTCATGCAGTGGCCAGCCTAGAAAATGTAATAAACACTTCTGTGAGCGCCGTTATGCATGTGGAAAGCCTCATTAGATTTTGGCCTATGATTCTTACAGTTCACATGAAATGTAATGGGACTTAACATCCAAACTAAGTGTACATAGGAATACAGCCTTAAGCACACTATTTCAAATAGCATCATAACTTGTAATTAGAGTAGGAATACTTCTAGGCAGTTAGCTTCTAGCACTACTGATCAAAAGATGCCATGCAGTTGTTTTCTCTTTCTGTTTAACAGATGTTTTGTGTAATTAAAAAAATGGAAGATATAATCGGAAAACACAGAAGCATTACAATGTCTAGATTCGCTTTCATATTTGAAACAAACCTATCACTGGGTGCTGTGACATCTTAAAGACTAGCATATACAGCGGCATGATCTCTTGTGTATTATCGACCTCTCCAGCAATTGCTTTAAGAGCTGTAACTTCCTAGGAATGCTTTTTGTGTGATTATCCTTTTGCTACATTAGCACATCCTGAATATCATGAAAATACTGCACAAAAGCAATTCAAGTATTAACCCTACTCATGACAATTTGCCAATCCTGCCACTATTACTCTCTCCTGAATGAGGCACCTTCTCTGATGGGAAAGTCCGTGGAAATCATGCCTGTGCCATAACTAGCCTGCACAGTTGCCAAGCCTGATAAAAGCCAGCAATGTCTCAGAAAAGTTGGGACTTGTTAAATGCTCCCCTAAAAGAAACAGGACCATACATGCAGAATGGAGGGCCAGCAAGAACAAGTGAGAAGCAAGGAGGTGCTCTTCAGACCTAGAGGCAAATCTATGCTGCCACACACATGCTGTTGAATGAGGATGTTCATTACCTTGGAGCCTGTGAGAGTTGCAGAATCCAGACGCTACTTAATTGAACAGGATCCCACTTTCTTTGTTCTTTAGATTTATACTCTGGAGGGTAATACTCATACTCTGAAGGTCTGTACGACAAAGGCAGCCAACACTTTTGTTGATTTAGTAACACAATTCAAAATAATGTCCTAGTTTATCACTGTATGACCAGTTAGTGTCAAGAACTAAGAAAAGTTATGTTTTTTGGACTTCATTTCCCCAAATCCCTAAACCATTGCGGTCAGATTCCATAGGAAACCTAGTCTGCAATCAGATGGGGACATAAAAGTCACACTGGATTGTACTGGAAAGAGTTGGAAACTTAAAAGAGAGCCTTAAAAGTGAATATTCTGTCCATGTCTGATCACATTAACCTGCTCCCAAAAACAAAACAACAACAAAAATGAACAAACAAACAAACAAAAAACCCCAAGCAGACTAGCTGCTGGACCAAAATGATCCAAACATGGTATAGAGTACAGTCGTGCTGCTTCACAATCTGCAGTACATCATTTGGTTGCCAGCAAATAGATCAAACCGTCTTAGCACTCTACAATGTGATCTAAAACCCCATCTGATTGCACCCTTAATTAGTATCTCTAATCTCAATCACTCGTGTTTCTAAATGGAATGAGGAAACATTACACTTTTTGTAAAGGTGACTCACAGCCATGTGTAGATTTGTCTTTACATATTCTTTGACTACAGGCACAGTGAGTGCTATACCTTTTGAGTAACATTTACTTTGACCTTTAACTAGTCTGGTAAGAAATATTATGGAATCAGCAAACATGATTTACGAAAACTGAGTAGTAAATATATCTGGAAAGAGGTAGAAATTGAAGTTTTAAGGGCATAAGACTGAAAGCATTCCACTTCCAGTTGTCTTTCCAAGTAGACAGCACCCACCTGAAATATCTTAGCACTGTACTGGGATTGTCACTTGTTAGTATATAATGAGAGTGGGGAAGAATATATGTAATCTCTGCATATTCCCAATCCTGGGGGAATTGAGAGCCATTAGTTATAAAACTCTATGTATGTGTGTTCTATGGGTATGTATGAAGAACTTCCAAACGAGTATACATAAGTGATTGTGAAGTATGGCTAAAGAAATTTTGCTTATCAGCTTGAATAAATATCTGTGACAAATATCATTATGAGAATTTAGGATCTGAAGAAAAAATTATTTACTTTTTAATTTTTGCAAAAAATTAAGTTTTGTGTTGATTTTTTCTTTTAATTTTACAACTGAATTTTGTTAGAAGAGGACTGGATGATAGTAAAGCAAAGTTGAGGAGGTATGTAGATTTCTCAAAAACAATAATAAAAAAGAGAGAATGATGAAGGTAAGATTGGGAACTACTGTCCCAAATCTTCATTTTGATGATAATCTGAAGTCTTTGTTTCAGTTTAATATAATGGGGACAAAGGAAACAGCGGTGAGCAGATTTTGGGCTTGGGTAATCTACTTTGCTTTTTCACTGGAACCCTGAAGTCCACTATCAAGGCAAAATGGGGGGGGGTGAGATGGAGAGGACAGTGAAGTCAACATCTTAATGCATCCTGTAAGATATTTCCTGCATACACAAATTTAGCTCAACTTCTGAATTATGACAGATCAGGGATTCTAATGTCAAACTCTTAAACTCTCCAACAGAGCTGCATGAAAGAGTTGTCAAAGGCAACTGATTAATATTTATAATGTTCATATTCATATTGCACAGGTGAGAAACCAAGATCAAAAATTAAACATTTAGCACAAGGCCAACAAGGATGTCCACTTTACTTCCTGTTTAATTTTAAACTACTGTAAGGCAGAAAGGCAGAAACCCTTGCTTAACTACTGCAAATCAGCCAACTATCTATTGACCTTCTGCTCACTCCTGGATAAAGGGAAAAAGTCTTGAAAATGAAATTAGAGTTCAAAGTACTCAGGTATGATGGCACTGAGGCCCAGTCAGAATTATCTACATTATTTTTATTAGAAAATTAAATATTCAAAGAGTGAGCCATTTCCCCAAGCTTGGCTAGTTTAAGATTTATGTTCCAAAGGCCCCAGGTATAAAACAATCATCAACATACAATATTTCATCTTCACAATCCTGATGATGCAACACTTATGCCTGGAATATCACTTCACACAGAAGTCACCTGATAATAAAGAAGAGCCTAAGAATTCTATTACATCTGCAGCTTGCTAAGAAACTTGATGACTCTTTTAAATTCAAGCACCTTAAAACTGCTGAGTGAATATTTATCTCCTTTTTTTCTAAGCCAGCAAAAAATATGGCATTTATAAAATTAATTTATAGTAAGCCAGCTGCAGAATCTCATTTACCATGGTTCTTACTTCTGTAAAGAGGGTGGTAGCAACAACCACAACAACAACAACAATAATGTGTTGTTAGGTCAATTCTGACTAATAGAGACCTTTTCTAGTGTTTAGAGGTATAGAACACCCAGCACAGATTTACCATTCTCTACTTCACATAAAGAGGTTTATACTGGTGATTAATATCTATATACAGTGGACCCTCGACTTACAGATGGCTCGACTTACAGACTTTTCGAGTTACAGACTTCTCTGGCTGCAAAATTTAGATTCGACTTGCAGCCAGAGAATCGACTTACAGACCAGAAAAAAACCAAAATGGAATAAAAATAGAATAAAAACCACTGGTTATGGGATTAATCGGTTTTCAGTGCATTGTAGGTCAATGGAGATTCGACTTACAGACTTTTCGACTTGCAGCCACCATTCCAATACGGATTAATTCCTTAAGTAGAGGGTCCACTGTAGTCCAAAATATTCTAATGAAAATATTCCCATCTCTACTACACTAATTCAAAAGGCTGCACAGGCTTGAAGCATAGGATGGGAGCGCCAAAAGTGAGGCAGAAATAAGAAAAAGGAGGGCTATGGAAGAAAATGCATTGCTTTCATATAAAACTAGAAAGAGCAACATTGCCACTTCTTACCAGATTTGGTCTCCAAATTATTTCGTATATTCAAAACAAGATTGTAAGCTATTTTACCTTTAGAAGGCAGATTAAGAAGAGTTTGGAAATTACCAGATTGGAAGAAGGGGGTATATGAGTCCAGGTGTTATAAACTGTGGCAGAATCAAAGTTGAACCCAGGCAATTTCTCAGTACCTCTCAATGCCTTGAAACAGATATTTTCCAGGTGGTGAAGACTAGAAGGGATTGTGAAGAGCTCCAGAAGGATTTCTCCAAACTGGGAGAATGTGTGGCAAAAGAATTTCAATATAAGAAAATGTAAAGTAATGCACAATGGGGTAAATTTTATTTATTAGCTCATGGGTTCTGAGCTGTCCGTGAGGGATCAGGTAAAAGATCTTGGTGTGCTGGAGGACAGATGGATGAAAGTGTCAACCCAGTGTGCGGTGGCAGTGAAGAAGGCCAATTCCATGCTAGGTATCATTAAAAAGGGGATTGAAAATAAAGCAGCCAATATTATAATGCAATTGTACAGAATGCTGGTAAGGCTGCACCTGGAGTATTGCATACAGTTCTGGTCGCCACACCTCAAAAAAGACATAATAGAACTGGAAAAGGTGCAGAAGAGAGTGACTAAAACTATTACTGGGCTGGGGCACCTCCCTTATGAGGAGAGGCTACAGCGTTTGGGGCTCTTTAGTCTAGAGAAAAGGCGCCTGAGGGGGGACATGATTGAGATGTATAAAATGATGCAGGGGGTGGATGAAGTGGATAGAGGGAAGCACTTTTCCTTCTCAGGCAATACCAGAACCAGGGGACATCCACTCAAATTGAGTGTGGGGAGAGAACAGACAAAAGAAAATCTTTCTGTACCCAATGTGTTGTTAGTCTGTGGAACTCCGTGCCACAGGATGTTGTGATGGCATCTGGCCTAGATGCCTTTAAAAGGAGATTGGACACATTTTTGGCCGAAAAGTCCATCACAGGTTACAAGCCATGATGGGGATGTATACTCTCCAGGTTTAAAAGGAAGGTACCTCAAAATGCCGGATGCAGGGGAGGGGTATCAGGAGACAGGTATCTAGGTGTCTCATGTGCACCCAGAAGCATCTAGTGGGGCCACTGAGGTATAGGAAGCTGGACTAGATGGGCCTTTGACCTGATCCAGCAGGACTCTTCTTATGTTCAACTCAGAGGACCATCATGCCACGATAGCTTGTTCATTGAGTAACACTGGTGATCTCAACCAGAAGAACTCAGTGCCCTAAGGAAAAAATAGGGACATTTACACCAGTGTTTACCAATCTAGGGTTTGTGACCCCCCCCCCAAGGAGGTTCCCAAAGTGTTTTCTGGGAGGCTGAGAGTCACCCTATATATAGCACTTGTTAAATACAGTAATTTCTTCTTTGACCTTTCAGAGCGGATATTAAAGTTAGTGTGTATATTTATGTATGAGAAACAGGCCTTCCGGAGGAGAAAGAAGCCTCTACTTTCTGAGAAGGAATGGCTTTACCCATTAAAAAATGCCTTTTTATGCAAACATGACGATGGGAGGGTTGTAGGTTACTTGGCTATTATTAATGAGGGTTGTGACTCAAAAAAGGTTGGGAACTACTGCATTACATAAATGACAAATCACATGGATCTATTGTGGTCCCTGTCAATTGTGCAGATTGATCAGTAATCGTCAAGAATGAAATAATCCCAGCTGCCCAAGCAAGGTAGGATTAGAATTACTGAAAAACGTGGTTACGGTTCAAAAGATTCAAAGCCACCAAGACTCATACCCAAAGACTAGCTTTTTGCCTTGTGGGGATTCTGCAGATAAATGAAGCCACTGACTCAGACATAACTGCACTATTATCGACAGTGGGGCACCGCTATCCCATTCTAACCTTGTCCACTAAGCCAGCTCAGGCAGTTTGGACTGCATTCTTAGACTTGTTTTAAATATTTATCAAAATATATTGGAGACCAACCAAAAATATAGCATCAGGAAGACAACAAACATTACATACACTTCAAGACAGAGGTCTGCTGACTTTAATAAACATACAACTTGATAGTTGTAACTATTGACTGGCAATCTGATCCTGATGAAGCAGATTTACCCTTTATTTAACTCCACTAAATAAAGAATTAAAGTGTAGGCCAAATTGAAAAGTAAAAACTGAAGCTGCAGTCTTTGATGTACACACACACAAAACACTCACACCATAATAATGAAACATACAAAAACTGTTAAGATTGATCTGAATATGGATTTATGTTTTCTAAAATGGAGGATAAGCATTTATTTGTTTCTTTGTCCCAGCAGCCCTTGGTGCAAACTGGAATCTGCAGAGTATTTACTGCATTCTGACCCAATCTTCTGAACCAATTCTGACTTGCAATCTTCTCTAAGAAGTCGATTCCGTAACTGAATTCAGACTCTGCAAGCTTCATCATCAAGCTACCCTTTTCTCTCACCTGCTGTGTTTCCATTTGGTAAATGGATGATTATTTCTAGAGAAATATCTCAAAAGCTTACTCATTTTTCTGGAAGTGTTTGGTTTCCTAATTAAACTATCATCCGAATCTGGATTTCACAACCCTAAAGGGATAAGTATGATACAGTGGTTAGGCAATCATGAAGGGTAAAGAGGCCCAGGTTGAAATTCTTATACAGCCAAGTTCACTGATTGATGTTGGGTTGCTCACCATTTGTGCACCTAATCTACCTGACAGGGCTTTATGAGGCAAAGGTAATGGGGAAAACCCATGCATATTACTAGAAGTCTTTACAGGAAGTCTGATTCTGTAAAGTCTGACCCTTCTTTACAGAAAAGGTGAAATTAAAGTATACAGTTAAAAAAATTCAGCACGCCAAGCATAATCCACAGGCATATTCTTGTCTACTTCCTATACATTTCCAAACTGTTTGAACAAATGGACACAATTCTGTGTTATTGCTATAATAATCATTAGTTTTCTGTTCTGCTACTTTAGGATTATGGCTTATCTTTAGTGACCCTGTGTTTAGGTCCAGAGTTTATCTTTAAAAAAAACAACAGAGGGGAAATATTCTTAGATGAAAGTATGTCAAGAGTTCAAGATACTAAAATGCATGTTGGCTCTTGTTTTCGTTTCCACGAGTTGGTCTAAAAAATACTGTAAGTGTAAGACATATCTCCTACGGCGGCAGGGCAAACCAAGAGACAACCTCTATTATTCCAGAAGAGCTGCTGGAAGTGTCAGCCTTTAATGCGAATATGAGAAAACTTCTGATTTATTTGCAACAGGAGTTCTAGTAGTAGCTCACGACGGCAGCCTTAGTCCCTAAGGGACATTCACCTGGCTGGAAGTACAACGTTACCCCTAAACAGAAATTCCTCTTGGAGCCCACAGTACTGTACTTTGTGCCTTTAAAATGGTGGGGGAAATGAACGAGGAAATTATCTCCTAAAATGCAGAGGCCGTGGTGTCGACACTCCCGGACTTCCCACCCCTGCCACAAGGCACACAGCCCGCCAACTGAGCCGCCGCCGCCGCCGGCCCCGGGGAGGCGCGCGCCGCCCACCTTCTGCGCTCAGAGGGGCTCAAGGAGGGCGACCCTCACCCACCTTCTGCGCCTGCTGGATCATTTCGCGCGCCACTTGCTTGACGTGAGGCGCGTTGTCTTCCTTGCGCGGCTGGGTGAAGAGAGCCAAGCGCGTAACCCCCCGGTAGAAGGTGTTATGGGTCCATCCCATGTCCAGGGGAGGGATCTCGGTGTCGGAGCACTCGGGCCAATAGGCCAGTGACAGGGGCTTCCCGGAGGGCCCCGTGAGCGTTTTGCCGCCGTCGAGGTGGGCATCGTAAGCGCTCCAGCCACCCTTCAAGGCCTGTAACTCCCGGCTAGAGAGGAAGTCGCGCAGCTGCTCTTTCTTCAGCCGCTCTTTGTAGGCTTTCTCCCCTTTTGCTGTAAGGACCTCGAGGGCCTGGCGCTGTTCCTCGCTGTAGTAGTAGCGCGGGTGGTGCTCGCTGACCCTTTCGCTCACGTAGGTGTTGTCCAGGCAGACCAGCTGCGACTCCGCCATGCCCGCTTTCCCTCCCACTCCCCACCGCCACGACTTTCTCTCAACTGTCGAGTTGGAGCTGCCAGCAACACCAGGAGCCCAGCAAGGAGAGGAGGGGCCGCCTTGCTCCGCCTTTGCCTCACCTGGGCTTGTAAAAGGTGGGGGCGGACTCAGCCTCCGCAACTTGCTTCCCTCGAAAGGTGAAGCAAGGGGCTCGGAGGAGGGTTGCCGCCAATGGAGGCTCCCGCCTCCGTCTCCCATGTGGAGAGACTTCGGAAGGGAACCACCAGCGAAGGCTGACGATGCTCAAGCGGGTTCCAAGTTCCTACTTCCTTATTTGTTTGGAACTTCCAGAGAGAGCTCAATCAGGAAACTGAAAAAGAACCCATGATCTGTATAATCCTCCCCACCTACCTGGTCATGAGGCCTGAGAGGCTCCCCATATATCCTATCTTGTGATTGTCGGGATTCTTATTCATCAAAACAATATTTTTCTCTGGTGTAAATCATTTTTGATATGTGTTGGAACACATTAAAGTATAATTACTCCAGGTGATGGTTACAAATAACGATTTATTGCTGTACGCTGGAGAATTAGGTTTGGCTCACCTCAGATTGTACAGTCACATGCCCAGCCAGGTGTCTTGTATATTTCCAGTGAATCCATTGAGTTCCTTTTGGGGTGGTCTCTGTGCACACTGTTAAACCTAATTTACCATGGCTACCAAAGGGAAAGCTGGTACAGGAACAAAAATGCATCTAGGGTTTTGCAACCCTATCATATACTCATATATTAGAAAAGTGTTCTTTAAGTGTTCTTTATATATATTTCAGTACATACAGGACATCAGGTTTGGCATCCCATGCAACTATAGCACAGACAAGTAGAAAATACGTTCAGGAACACACTAAATCATGGATTTATGAGAATTTTCCTCATGGGGTCATTGAGTCCTACAAAACTGCAGAGCTGCAGTAATTTTTGCTTTGGGCTGAACATGACTCAGTATCTCCCAACACTTTCTTGAATGTTTATTTTTATCTCTTATAGAGCGGCTCCAGGTATTCAGAGTGTAAACAATGACTTCAAGACAGTCGGTGGATTTAGGTAGTATGGAATGGTGCAGATTACTTAATAAAGGCACAGAGGCATAATGCTTAAGAAAGGAAGCAAATTATATATACAGTACTTCATTTTTTAAGGACAATCTTTTTTAAAAAATGGAAATTTGGTTTTGTTTAAAGAAATCTAGCACAGAGCAATGACCCTTGTATAGTACATACTCCTATGGACATCTGCTTTCTCTATGATGTATTTGTTTTTCTGAATGCTTTACAGGTGCAGCATATAGACACAACATTAATTGAAATCTAGGCAGATGTCCTTCCACTTTCCAACTCTTTAAATTTCAGCAGTACATAGTCTTGAAAAGACAATGTGTTTCTTGTTTTTCTGTGGGTTGGTTCTATGAAAACATTGCCAAAAGAGAACACCTGTCACTGTTGATTTGCCTGGTAGAGGCGTTACTACATAGGGAAGACCAGCTTAAATCAGGAATAGGAATGTACGTATAGCCCTCCACATATTGTTGGAGTGAGACTACTGTACCTTTTCCCCTCCCCGCTGTTTATGCTAGTTGGAGACACTGGAAGTCATAGACCAATAACAAATAGAGGAGAACAGATATTTACTCACCACTGGTCTGAGTAAATACAAAATTCATATGATCAATGCCTGATGAATTGCATTCAGAAGTGCTCTGTGGTTTGAATGGCAATACAGTTAACTATAGGTAGAAAGAATTTCCTTCTCTGGCTGGAATTTATGACTGTAAACTTTTCATACAGCATAAAATGCACTGATGGGTTAGTATAGTGTGGAACTGCTTCTTGCCCTGGGTTATTGCATTTGTTAAGCAATATTTATTAGCGGGAAATGATGAAAAATGAGAGGCAGAAACAGCAAACATTTTGTCTTGCAGGATGTATTTATTTTTTAACAGCGTAGATGGCTATTTGACAGGCTGCCCAATAGAGAAGAAAAGTACAGTACAGTGGGGTCTTGACTTGAGAACTTAATCTGTATTGGAAGGCAGTTCTCAAGTCAAAAAGTCTGTAGGTCAAATCTCCATTGACCTACAGTGCATTGAAAACCGATTAATCCCGTAACAGGCCATTTTTGTTCCATTTTGGTTTTTTTCTGGTCTGTAAGTCAATTCTCAGGCTGCAAGTCAAACCTAAATTTTGCAGCCAGAGAAGTCTGTAACTCAAAAAGTCTGTAAGTCAAGACGTCTGTAAGTCAAGGGTCCACTGTATAGGAAGAGATGGATTAGGAGGCAACGGATTGGTGAGGCAGTAAACATGCTTGATAAATTCAATTTATGACACAGATCTGCAGTTTGTCAAGCACATAGTTATATCAGGGGTACACCAATATATTTTTTATTAACAGTGTGCATTCAGTGTACACTTAGCCTTTCTCCCAGTTGTCTATTTTTGTGGAAAGGTCCCCAGTGAAGGATAGGTTCCTTATGAAAGGATACTTTTAATGCAAATGACTAATACAAAGTTTGAACAATGCAGGATTGTGGATATTAGACTGGGAAGTAGGCCGTCAAGCCAATCTTCTTCCCACCAAAGCAAATGAAATTAGAACCATAATCATAATCTTTTCCCCCTCCTCCCTGACTTTTAAACTTTGAATCCACACAATGGGGCGAGCTTCTGTTGGTTGTCCCAGCTCCTGCTAACCTAGCAGTTTGAAATCATGCAAAATGTGAGTGGATAAATAGGTACCACCTCAGTGGGAAGGTAATGGCATTCCATGTTTAGTCATGTTGGCCATGTGACCATGGAATGTGCTTACGGACAAACGCCATCTCTTTGGCTTACAAACGAGAATGAGCACTGACCCCAGAGTCAGACATGATGACTTAATTGTCAAGGGGAACTTTTACCTTTAATGTTGCTTTAACATTGTTTTTATTGTTATTATGGTCTCCCTCTTAACTTTTGTTGTTTAAGTACTGTACAGTATACAGGCTTAATAAATGAACCATTTGGATTTTAATTTATGTGGTATGTCATTATCTATTGGGTTGGGGGGAAAACAAAGCCATATGGTCCTTACACAATACAAAAACAAGGGCAGGTGACATTAAAACCTGGCACAACTTTTTTAGAATTAGTTACATATACTGTATATAGTTTAAGTAAAAATGTAGGTTTATGTGTTTTGTAGGTCACATCCAATAATATTTAATTTAAGTCAGTGGTTCTTAACGTGGGCGATAATGCCCCCCAGGGGGCAATTTCATTTTTCAGGGGGGCGGTAGAACAAAAAGGGGCGGTGTGGGGGCACTGGAGCAGAAGGGGGGCAGTAGGGGGGCGTTGGAGCAAGCTAAACCTGTGAAGATGGCTGCAGCCTTTTTACAGTGTGCATGAATATATATTTTCCTCCAATCTTAATTTAGTT